GGTGGGACGGGGAGCAGCCCCCCCGTGCCCCGGCCCCGCCGCTCACCGCCAGGTCCTCCCGCAAGCACCGGTACTGCTCCCGCACCGAGAAGCCCCTCCGAGCCGCCAGCTCCACCCTTGGCTCCCCGGGGAAGCGGGAGCGGAACCCCCGCAGCACCGCACCCTCGAAGTCGGCCAGGACGCCGTCCATGTCCACCAGCACCCGCAGGGGCCCGGGACCGGCCCCGCAGCTCCTCCCGCCGCCCCAGCCCGCAACCCCCGCGAGAGCGGGACGGGGAAAAGAGGGATTTGAATAGATGAATATGCATGAGGAGGGCGGGGATGCCCGGTCGCTCAGCCACGAGGGTTCCCCGGGCTCGTTTGCCGCGGGGCAAGAAGCATCTTGAAGGCTCTGGGCACCTTCGGGGCTGTTCTGCCCCGACAGGGAGAAGAGGAGGGCGGCCCGAGGCTCAGCAGCCCTGGAGGAGCATCGGCAGGTTCCACCGGTTGTGGAGCTTGCAAAAGAAGTATCATTTGGTTATTTTTCCTTCTCCCAGGCTCATCAAACCCCCTGCCAGGGATGCATGATCCCAGCACATGTCAGCTGGCAGGGACACAGCGGGCTGGGAGGAGCAGCAGGGCAGAGCACGGCCTCAGAGGTTCAGCACCAAAGGCCGGGGCTGCTGCTTCTCCAAAGCTCACTTGGAGAAACAGGGTATTTTTTTGGGCACTGGTTCTTCCAGGAGGAGGGTGGAAAAAGGCAGACTCTCCAACAGACACCCCAGCTCTGCACAAATCCACTGTTCTGGCTCATGGTGCAGCACATCCCCTCCAGGACAAGAGAGAACTTCACAGTTTGCTCTCCCTTCCACCCCCTCTCTTCTTAGGGTCTAATTTATTTATTTTTTTCCTGAGGAGAATAAACCTTCCTCCATTTTCTTGAGAGGAAAAAAATTATTTAGATATCTATGCATATAAAACATTATGCACATCAAACCTTTTTCCATGCTCCTCTGATCTAGAAGATAAAACCAAAGAGATAACCAGACACTTGCTTCAGACCAAGGTGGCACATGATGGTGTCATCAAGTCAGGTGCAAGAGCTCCCCTCTGCTGCTGCATCCCACCCCTCCTGCTGCTACATCCCACCCCTCCTGCTGCTACATCCCACCCCTGCTCCAGGAGGGCAGGTTGGCTCAGACCAGGACACCCAAGAACAAAACCAAACCCAACCCAGGAAATAAAACCCACACAGGAAACGCTGCTTCAAAATTTCTATATTATTTACTTTTAAGCAACAGTCCAGCTTTGTGAAGTTACAACACACACTTTAAAGGATGAGATTTTTTTTTTCCACCTCATGGTCAAGCACCAGCATGATCATGCACAGCATTGAGTCAGTTGTAAAAAAAATGCCCTGTAGTTTTTAGTTATATGATCCACTCCATCTTTACTGAATAAAGTCTGAACAAATCCCCTCCTAGCCTTGGGCCAGGCAGCTCTGGTCACCAGCCCTCTTTTTGGCACCTACCCTGCATTCATAGTAGTCCAGTATCAAGATTTTTCAGTGTTTCAAGGCAGCATTGGTGTACACTAACCACTTTACAATTGATATGGCACAGCAGGGCTGAAGGCATTTACCACATGGAGTCAGTGAAGCCTTTGACATCCCCAAATCCCACACGTGGAGGCAGGGATGGCTCTTGCTGATTGTTTGCTGGCCTGTTTAACCAGGATTCTAGATCTTCATAAAGCTAAGGGGTTCTAAAAAAAAAAAAAAATCTCAGTACAAAAACCCTCTAAGCACACTTAGAACCAATCTACTCTCCTTTGCATGACATTACTATACTTCATAAAGCTTTCCCTCAAGTCTATCACTAGAAAACACTCATGTCACTTCCAGCAGATCTGGGGGAAACACAGGACAGAAGTGGAAAAAACCCTTGATCTCAAATAAAAAGAAAAATAAAAAAAAGATGGAGTACATAAAGTGCTTCTTTTTAATGAAAGAAATTCAAGATGTACAGTCAGGCTCAAGTTGTGCAGTTCACAAGCATGGGGGAAAGAAACAGACACGAGTTCAAAACAGTCAGGAAGGGAAAGGTTTAACCAAGGACTAGGCTGGACTTGCCACCGGGTGGATTTCTCCTGGACGGTGCTGGTGCTACTGGGCTAGGAACAGGTGCAGCAGGCAGGGATTTCTCTTCATTCTGACCTGGGGCAGCTTCTACATCAGCCTCAGTGTTTTCTAAAAGAAAAGAAGCTTTTAAAGTGTTTGGTGTGGATGATGGAAGCCAGATGTTTCACTGCCTTAGAGAGAAGACCATCAGCTCCTCTTAAGTTTCTCTCCAGGCTTACAGACACAGGGTGCTGCTGGAACCTGCTGGCAGGACAGACTTCAGCCCTCTGAAGTGTTTGTGAGATGAACTCTGAGGCCTTCCAGTTTACTTTCAGGCATTCAAGAGCCACATTCACTCAGCTACTACTAGAAGACCCCAACATATTTTTAATTTTCTATTTTTTAAAAAGAGAAGCAGCTTAAGTCTTAAATATTGGGTCAGCACATGAGTCTGACAATTGTCACTCAAGTCAGAGCAGGTGCTGGAAACCCAGTCTCAGAAGCACCAGGGCTTGTAAGCAAGGGCTCCAGCCACCTTCCCAATTTCACAGCATCTGACACACACTCTGAGGCTTCACATGAACAGGCTGGGGAATGGCCATGCATGGGGAGGCTCCCATCGTGCTTTCCCTGGAAAGCACATGATAATTTCTCCTATTTTAAATACTTCTCAACAACAACAAGACAAGAAACAAAAGGATTTCTTCACAGGAAGCACTTCAGATACTGTAGGAAATAACTAATGTATCTGCTTTGCTGACAATTAATTCATGAGCAAAGCAAGAACTCACATGTTTATAGATGAGCACAACCAGTCAAGAGCCAAAGGCCCAAAACAACACCCAGAAGTCCCCTGATACTCAGTGAGGTGAGTAGAGCTTTTCCACCAGCTCCATGAAGACATACTTTCTTTTTAAAACAGACCACATAGTTTCATCTAATTACTAGTTGCTTTGGAGGAACTGAGGAACAGCTGCATATTCACCTTAACCTCTAAACTCATGATTTAGTAAACCTTGATCCCACTCTGCCAGCCTTCTCTTTGAACTGAAGATTTGAGTCTCTCCTCATAAGAGAGCTTCTGCACCTCCTTTCCTTTCCCCTCACCTCCTTCTGCCCCTGTTTACTACACCCTTCTTTACACTTCAAGGACTGCATGCAGGATTTAAGGTGTGGGCACATCACTGAGTACAGAGGCAAACCACTGTCACTTCCCATTCTCTCCCTGATTATCTTCAACATTTTGCTAGCACCTCCAAACATTTCAGAGAATTTCCAATAATAAGACTTGAGAGCCAAGGGCTGCACAGAGCTGACACAACACTGACACAGATGAGGTATTGTGGGGTTTTTTCCCCCCCAGATGCATTACTTTATACTTATATAGAGATTATCCTGCCTCCTTTTTATCTGCCTATCTTGTTTGATTCCTTCTGACAGATTTTTCTCACCATCAGCACATTTGGCTACTTGAAAGAGCTAATATCACCAACAAAATTGGAGACTTCACTGTTCATTACCTTTTCCAGGTCACAGATGAAGTCACTAAATAAAACTAGTCCCAGCATCACTTGGCTCATTTTTCCAACCTGAAAAGCAATTGCTACCCTTTACTACCTCCTATTCTTTTACTACCTTCCTACCCACAGGAGCAGCTCTCCTCCAATTCTGTGGCAACTCAGCTTTTTGTGGGTTTGGGGTGTTTGGGCTTTTTTTCTTTTTGGTTTTAGTAATCTTTGAGGGACAATTTAATCAGAAACACTGAAAACTCACTTGTGTCACTGACCCCCCTGTATCTAGTGCTTACAATAACAGCAAAGACCTCCAGCAGCTTCATAGAGACTCTGTGTAAAACAATCTACAACACAGATGCTCTGCTGTATTCAGTAACCCACAGGCACAGCTGAACAAAACACTTAATAGGAAGTTTTTGAGTTTGATGCTTCTGTAGCTCATCTGTACCCCTGCCTGCTTACTCAGCAAGCTGGGAACAACCACAGCCACTGCTCACCCAGCCCTGAATGCCTCATTGTCCCTGCCCTCAGCAGACAGTCCAAGCTCTGTGCAGTGCTCACCACCATCATCTGCTCACCAAATGCCAGAGTCCACCTTCCTGTGTTATCCAGTCACTGGGGACAGTCAATTGAGTGCTGTCTACTTCCCCTTAGCTTATCACAGTCATTAAATCCACAGTGCTAACTGACTCACAAAAGAAACAAGAACTACTATCACAGAAGACTCTGGAGAAGTTTCTACAGTTCATATAACCAGCTGATACACATATTAGTAATTCCCACCTAATCAAGGCATAGATGAGTTTGCTAATCTAATAACTGAAGTGGTAAATTCAATGGGATCAGATTAAAGTTCTTATTAGAAAGCATATAATCTCTGAAACAGCTTTCTGAGTATACTGGAAAATCACTGGAAACTTCAATGCCCAGAAAGGAACACCAGCTCCCAAACAAGAAGCAAGAACACTGCTGCAAAAGGAACATGCTTTCTTCCCCCAGACAGACATGATTAAATAAACTTGCATGCCCCACCTCACACCTACCTGGGGTTTGATAATCAGCTACATACAGAAAATACTTTCCAAATTTAAAAAGAATAAACATTTTTGATGATGGAAACCTATTAAAAATCTAGTTACGCTGTGAACTTGTAAGCAGATAGATTTTACTTGGAGGTGGATTCATTCATCCCTTTCCAACCATGGAGCCAACTCTACAACCTCCAGCACAACAGCACATGGGAGAGGTGGGATGTTCACCAGCTCACACAGCAGGAACATCAAGTGGTGGGGTGACACAGCTAGCTCAGCATGACTCTGTGCTCCACTGAGCTGCAATACCCCAAAGCTATCAATGGTAGAAATTAATTTAACAACCCAGCAACATTCTTAGGTGTCTGCCACGGGCTTCAGGTCCAGGAAGCATTAACTTTCTACTCCTTCCTACGTACCATCAGTGGAAGTTTAAAATCCCAACGTTTGCCTGTTGTTTTTTATTTCAACTTGATCATCTTCAAAAATTTAGTTTTGAGTCTTGGCCACAACAGTAAAGAAAAAAAAAAAAAAAGCATTTACTCTCCATTAACACTATTTTTTAAAATCATTTCCCAGCACACACTTAACTTGGTACTTGACAAGAACCTCCTTTACTGTCACTTACCAGAAACAAATTAAAAGCCAACATTAAGACATCTGTGAAAATGGGAACTTGTTCTATGAGTCAGGAATACAGTTTTGTATTCAAAGTCTCAGTCAGCTGTTGCTAACCCAGGCAGCCCTGCTGCTGCTTCCTCCCACCCCATCTCCTCTTGCTTCACCACTGCCTGCAGGCTCTCATCTGAACCCACAAGGAGCTGGTTTAAGCAGCAGAACCCTTAGATCAGTTTACTTCTATTATCAAACCACATCCTCCTACTTGAGACAATCAACTCTAAATGCCTACAGTGCTAATTAAGATCAGACACACATGGGAAAGAAATACTAAAGTAGCCTGTGTGGTTGGATCAGAAGCAGCCTACTAAAGAAGCCAGACTTATTTTGGGAACTGGTATCACTTAAAGGTAGTGAAAAACATTCTGGGAAACCTCTCACCCTCCCAGCAGAGGTCTTTTCAGGACATGGAACTGCTAATGGCTTCAGTGATCTCCCACAACACTTAGGTGTTGAAAGTAGCACTTAGAAAGTACCTGTTACACACACATTCCTCTCCTCAGGAAGCAAGCTGTTCTTAAGGTGAACCTTGCAAAGCAGAGACTTCCAGCCTCAGAGCTAGAAAAAACACTTCAAAGGTAACACACACACTGCTGGGGAAATGCCTCTGTTTACATGAAATTTGCAGTATGCATGTCAACTTCCTGGGCAAAAATCAGCATTTAAAAACCAACAGGAACTTAACAGCTGGTTAATGCACACACTTTCAGAGGCAGTAGCTGGTTCTGATTATCTCTGGGAATGCAGCATCTGCTACTGTGAGAACAGGAAAGAAGTAAGTAGCTCAACTAAAATCCACTAAGTTGCCTGTACCACTTAATGACAAGCTACTCTTGCACAACAGTCTCTCCATCACTGAACTTTGTGCAAGATGGTATCCACCTCACCTTCTAGCACTTAAATCCTGACACCAACTGCTGCTGGCAAAATAACTGCACAGGACTGCTCTCATTTTTAACCTGATGACTGCCAGCAACTCCTCCATTTCATTCCACATCCACTCTTCCAAGGTATTCAAGTCACTTTACTGATTTGATTGAATCAAGGAACAACCCTGAGCTGTCTCTTCTCCTAACACATGATTATTTGTATATTCTATGCCCTCTTCTATTTCAAAAGCACCTAACTGCAAAAGGCTTTTACTAGTAGAGTCCAAAGGGGTTACTCACCAGAAGTTTCACCAGCACCATCTCTCCCCTA